TGCAGGCGCAGCAGCAATCTGCTGCCTGAGGACTGAAAGAATCAGCAGCAGAGCAGACTGCTGGAATGAGAAGGAACTAATGGACAGGAGGCAAAAGATGTGGCCACCCATGACACGGAGGAAATCCAAGCTACTCTGTACCTATTTTTCCTGCTATTGTAGCTGCATCTGCTGGACAATTCGAAGCACATGTCATGTCTGTGTTGACTGATACAGCCCCTGAGTGGAGAAGCATGTAGAGTCCAAGGAATTCTGCTTATACAATGTGATATGTGAATAGTATTAGAAAATTTATTCTATGCAGTGCCATCTTCCCTAGCACCATCCTGCTGCTCAGACATTTTTTGCCAAATGCTGTAATGTTGACCTAGGGCTTTAAAGTGTAGGCTAGGGCTCCAAAATTAAGAGTAGCTATAGACATCACATATTCACAAATTTTCTGCCCCTCCAGGCCAAGGACTGACAGTTTTCGTTCTGGTTTGCAAAATCATAGGTATTTTGGAAATAAGGATAAAAAGAGGCTGAATAGATGCTATTGTTTGCATCTCCAGGACAGTTTTGGAAGCCTGATAACTGTTTTATCATTGTCATATCAGTAATACGTGGTGGTTTGACCCTGGCTGGAGGCCAAGTCCCCACCAAAGCTGCTCTGTCACTCCCCCTTCATAGATGGACAGAGAGGAGGGAAATAGAATGCAAGGCTCATGGGTCAAGATAAGGACAGCTTAAAAAAACAAAGGCAAAGGCCACACATGGAAGCAAAATCAAACAAAAATATTATTTTCTACTTCTCGTCAGCAGGCGATGTCCATCCACTTCCCAGGAAGCAGGGCTTCATTATGCGTAGTAGTCCAGGAGACAAAAGTAAAGGAGTGCCCCCCTTCCTTCCTCCTTTGTCTTAGCTTTCATTGCTGAGCAGATGCCATATGGTTTGGAACATCTCGTTGGTCAGTTTGTGTCAACTGGCATGGCTGTGTCACCTCCCAAAGTCTTGCCCATCCCCAGCCTGCTGGTGAGGAGGAAATGTTGGAAAACCACGTGGTACTGTGCGAGTACTGCTTAGCAGTAGCCAAAACCTTGGGGTGTCATCAGCACCTTTCTAGTTACAGGTAGAAAGCACAGCACTGTTAGGGCTGCTGTGGGGAAAAATTAACTCCATCTCAGCCAGAGCCAGGATGTGACATTAATAATTGCCACCTGACTGAACCACAGTGGCAATCCCCTTGCTAATGGCCATTGCTTTCCGCTTGTTAGTGTCAGTGATGAGCCACTGAAGCACAACTCTTAACTCCTTAATTAATGATTGCCCTTAAACTGGTTCTTTATTAGGATTTGGCTGTACTCTAGTTTCCAGGAACTGAAACCTTGCATTTCCTTTTCCTGCACTGAACACCTCCCTGTCTTACCTCCAATACTTCTACTGTTTGCTTTCAGAAACACAAAAATAGATTGTATTTAATTCACAGGAATATTTAAACTGTTCCCTATACAGCAATTGTTTTCTATGTCAGACCATCTATGGTAACCTAAAGTCAGCCTTAGTTAAGATGGAGAAGAAGAAGATCTCGTCCTTACAGAACTAGTGTGCATGTTACAGTGTCAAGGGCAGGTAGGCACTGGTAGCTGGGACTCAAGACATGAAAATATTAGAAATGCTGGACCTTTGAAGTGCAAGGATGTTTTTTAACAATGTGCAAGTCTCCACCGTAAGAGATCTGTTGGAGTGTGTTCAGAGGAGGGCCACAAAGATGATCCAGATCCAGGGGCTGGAGCACCTCTGCTATGAGGATAGACTAAAGGAGCTGGGATTGTTCAGTCTTGAAGAGAAGACTCCAGGGGGACCTAATAGCTGCCTTCCAATACCTGAAGGGAACCTACAGGAAGGCTGGGGAGGGACTTTTTACAAGAGTGTCCGCTGACAGGACAAGGGGAAATGGGTTTAAGTTGATGGAGAATAGATTTAGATTGGACCTTAGGAAGAAATTCTTCAGTACGAGGGTGGCAAGACTTTGGAATAAATTGCCCAGAGATGTTGTGACTGCCCCCTCCCTGGAGGTGTTCAAGGCCAGATTGGATAGAGCCTTGAGTAGCCTGATCTAGTTGAGAGGTGTCCCTGCCCATGACAGGGAGGTTGGATTAGATGAGCTCTAAGGCCCCTTCCAACATAGGCCATTCTTTGATTCTGTACCAGTGGTTATCATGAGGACTGGTCAAAAAACAGATGGAGTTTTAGCCTTGCTGTGACTGTGTTTGCTTGGAGTTACATAGGCACTGCATGTATTGAAGTTACCGTTAGTGACTGCTAATACCTTGTATAGATAGAATTGTACTGTCACTTCTTATTACTCATCAATTGTTAGCAGCTTAAGGATCAGAGGAGCTCATGATGGTGCCAAAAAGGTTAGGTATATTTATGTGGATTGATAAACAGAGATTCCTAAGTCAAGTTTATTGTTTCTGTGGACTGAACTTGACCTGTGCAAGGTAGGAGGTTGTCCCAAAACAGCAATTCCAAGCCCAGTGTGATGTGTCATTCCTGTGCATAAATCCAAAACATCAGTCTTGAAATGCCCTGCTTGCCATCGGAGAGAGCAGTCGTAGCTGTGTGTTAGAAGACAAGCATACCTCTGCTTTCTGTTACAGTGTAAGAACTGGAGGCAGACATCTGCCAGACTCTGGAACCTAGGGCAGGGCCAGGAGCTGGTGACCTCCATGCTGACCACAGTGCCAGGAGAAGCAGAGCTGCCTCAGCAGAGTGCAGCACTTCTGCTCCTGAACCTGGCCAAGAGGCCAGTATTAGTGGCGTTGTCAATGACAATTTAACAAATGACCCATTATTTCCCCACAGCAGTGCTTTACTGAAGTCTGTCACATCACCGGAGCTAACTCAGACCAGATCATTCAGTGTGTGCCTTTCCACCCCTGCCAGTCTCTTCTGAGTGTGCAGAATTGAGTCATCTCCCTTTGGCTCCGTGGAAGACAAGACCAGAATAGCTTCACCTTAGATTACCTAATGCTGCTGTTGTTGGGAAGTCTTCTTGAAATGTCAGGCTTGGTTTTTGGCTTCTCTCTCCAAGTGAACTACCTTGAGTGGGTGTATTGGGTTTGCCTGGCTGGATTTTTGGTGCAGGGGGGTGCTGCAGGTGCACCTTCTGCAAGAGAGGCTGCTAAAAGCTTCCCCTAATCTGACAGAGCCAATGCCAGCTGGCTCCAAAGAGGGACCCGCTGCTGGCCAAGGCTGAGCCTATCAGTGATGACAGGAGAGGAACGCCTCTGTGAAAATGTATTTAAGAAACGGGGAGAAAGAACTGCACCATGCAACAGCTGGCAGAGACACAGAGGAGTGAGAATATGTGAAGACACCAAGGTCAGTGAAGAAGGTGGGGGGAGGATGTGCTCCAGGTGCCAAAGCAGAGAGTCTCCCAGGTGGGGATGAAGATCATGGTGAAGCAGGCTGTCCCCCTGCAGCCCGTGGGTGTGACGAGGTGTAGATGTCCACCTGCAGCCCATGGAGGACCCCACACCAGTGTGGGTGCATGCCTGAAGGGGGCTGTAATCCTGTGGGAAGCCTGCGCTGGAGCAGGTTGCTGCCAGAGCCTGTAGCCCACAGAGAAAGAGAAGCCCATGCCGGAGCAGGTTGGCTGGCAGGACTTCTGTGACACCGCAGAGGACTCCCGCTGGAGGAGTTTGCCCCTGAAGGACTGCACCTCAGGGAGAGACTCACACTGGGGCAGTTTGTGGCAAATTGCCCTTGTGAGAGGACTCAAATTGGAGAAAGGTGTGTGAAGATTGTCTCCCGTGAGAGGGACCCCACAATGGCCCTGGGGAAGTGTGAGGAGTCCTCCCTGGGAGGAAAAAGCAGCAGTGGAAACAACATTGAATGAACTGACTGCAGCCCCCCTTCCTTATCCCTGCGCTGCTTGCGGGGAGGAGGTGGATGAATTGGGATTGATGTGAAGCCCGGGGAGAAGAGAGGGATAGAGGAAAGGTGTTATTTTTTTAAGATCTGTTTTTATTCCTCACTACTCTTCTCTGATTTGTTCTTTAATAAATTTAACTAATTTCCCCAAAATTAAGTTTACTTTGCCTAGGATGGTAGATGTGGGTGATCTCCCTGTCCTTATCTCAAACCATGGGCCTTCGTTATATTTTCTCCCCCTGTCTGGCAGAGAAGGGAGGGTGATAGAGCAGCTGTGTGGACACCTGGCCACACCAGGGTCAAACCACCACAGTGGGGTTGCAGGTGTCTTTTGCCTTCTTCGACACTTGTCTTAGCTGTTGAACCTGGACCAGAAACATTTGCAGCTTTCTTTTTGTGAAAGGACCACAGTTCTGGAAATGGCCACCAATTCAGGCATCACAAGTAGGGTAGGAGGGAGAGAACCACCAGATCTTAAAATCCTGATGTCGATCCAGGGCTCCAAGCATCTGAACAACAGCAACAGGTTTTGCTCGTGGCCACCTGCAGAAATGTAACATGCTAAAAAGGTTAGGTCAGGAATGGAATTTTTTTAGCCTCTTGTTGGCACCTGAAAGTGAGAATTTAGTCACTTAGGATGGATTAATCTCACCTGTCTTTAGACATTCTCTGTGTCTGAATCCACCTATGTCTGGATTTTGTCACTGCAGCCTTGTTTTTTATTCATTGCAAGGAAAACAGGCACATTTAGGGCGTGATTCATCTGACCTACTTTACACATTTACATGAAACTAATCCTTATTATGATACTTCAGTGTTTAAATCCTTGGGATTTCAAAAGTGTACTGCGTATTGGTGTCTTTAAAGTTATTTGTGAATAATCATGCTGTTAAAATAGTCAGAAGGGTTCGATTAGTAGTCTGACAATAACGTGTTCATATTCTTCCTGCAGGGAAAAAAAACTTACTTTGTGTTGAAGTAATTTGTTTTAACTCTAACTTTCTGCAGAAATTATGCAGAGGCTGCTCGTGTTTGTCGGAAATTCTGACGTGACCACGGATGTCATCTTCTTTTGCTTTAGATAAACTTCGAAGGAGCATGCCCAACCTCGCTCGGATGCCAAGTACCCCCACCATGAGCAGCAGCTCTGGTTTTGCCAGCTCTCCAGTCGCTGTGAGGAACAGTCAGAGCTTTGAGTCCAATTTGCAAGGGGCAAGTAATGGGATTTCAAGGATGCAGTCATGTAGTAAGTACCTGTGTTTTTTGGCTGCGTGCAAGGAATCTGTGGAGTCGTAAAATAACGTGTCCCAGTCACTGATCCTCTGCTTTATGAAACATTAGAAGCGGTCTGTATTCCTTTTGCACCATGTTTTAATGTAAGTCAGGATTTTCAAAGTTTCTATTTTGGAAAGCAAATTCTGCCCATCTTGTTACACAGTACTGAGAGTTTCTCCATGTCCCTTTTTTTTTTTTCTTTCTTTGACCATTCATTTTGTACCAGCTTTAAAACTAAAGTTATAAGAATTGGTACTGGTATTATAGAAGTACCAATAATGCAATTCATTCATGTAAGCTAACATTTTTAGTTTCGATTCTAGAATTGAGAACTGCTTTTCTTGGTAATTCATACAATGCTGGTTTTATGGTACCCTATATAAATACTGTCTTAAAATACATGACCTCTCTCTGAGGTCTCTTCTGACAGAGAAGTCCTCTTGCTTTCTTCTGAGAAAATGTGGTAAACAGAGGATTATATCTTCAAGTACAGTATACTTATTGAGTGGAGAATTAAAATGACTCTGTAATTAGTGTAGTTTAGGTGACTTCTTGAGGGGGGGATGAAAGGAGTATTGATCTAGTAGATGTTGAATCATTAATGTAGAACATGAACAAGATAGACCAAGATCCAAACCCATCTTTTCTAGCGCAGAGGCTGAGGTAGTACTCTGAGAGAAAATGGAAAAAGTCAATTTCTTTTAATACAAGCAGGAGAAGGGATTTAACTTGTGCCTCCCATGTCCTGTGAGATTTTGGGGGGAGAAGTTAGCAAAGCCTTTTCCTGTTGGTGTTTTCTTTTAGAAAACAGAATTTATAACAAAATTTATAACAAAGAGAAAGCAGAATTTATAACAATGTCTTCAAAGCTATTAACTTGCATCTTTTCTGGAAAAAGTACTTGACTGCTTGTTTTATTTTTGTCCTGTTTGAATAGGAGAGTGGAAGTAGTTGCTCAGGTTCCCACTTGAGTTTGCATGGTAGTGCATTGAGAGTTTAATTTTATTTGCTATTTTGGAAGTACTTATTTCTCTGGGTGCTTATGTATGTGTGTATATAAAATGTGACTTTTCTGAAATACTTGCTTGAAAAATATCTCTAGTAAGTGGCTGTGCTGGGGTATATAAGGACCTGTGATATAAGAGCTCCACAGCAACATATTCCCAGTATTGTTTAATTGAATCGCACATCTGTATTTTCTCCCATGTCTTTAAATGATTTTAAGATGTTCTTTTTCAAAGATTTGAAAAAAGATTGGCCTATATGTGATATGCTAGTTTGTGCTTCAGGCTTTTGACAATTTGCTTTTGATAGGTGGACCCGTGAAATAGATGCGTGTCTGATGTACACTAGAGGGCAGAATTGTGTAGAAAATCTATATATAAAGCTCCTGGAACCCATAGCATTGATTTGAAATGATGGTTTACATAACATTAGTCTTAGAATATGCTGCTATAATCAAGATCTTTTTATAGCCTCTTTATTGTTTTTAGACATAAAGCTTAGGTTTCTGTGATGTTTTATGATGCTTTCGTGCAAAAGATGTGGTTACTGCTAGCAACCTTTCAGAAATCTAAACAATCTAACAGTAATTTAGCAGTTTCTTCTGTTTAAAGCACTTGTTGCATAGGTGGAACTAGTGTGCTTGGAATGGCTAATGAAACCTCTTTGAGGGGAGAGAGAAGGGTAAATATGGAGTGGGATGGAGACAGAACAGGCTATTTGTAGTTCAGTGCAGTGTTACTAGATGCAGTGTTGGATCCAAGAGATTTTTCAGCAGTTTGTGCATAGCAAGTAAATTGTATAATGATGTGTTTATCCCTATAGAGTTCTGTCTCGAAATGAGCATTACTACCTGGCCTTGTCTGCTCCATGCTGACCTTGTTCCTTCCTTTTGTACCTTTCTTTACAGTTCCATCACCGGGACAGCTTCAACACAGAGTTCACAGTGTGGGACATTTTCCAGTGTCTGTCAGACAGCCTCTCAAAGCTACTGCCTACGTAAGCCCAACCGTACAAGGTAGTAGTAGTAGTAGTAGTAGCAGCAGCAGCAGCAGCAGTATTCCGGTGTCCAACAACTCACAGTTATATTCTAACACTGGGATCCCAATGCCAAACAAGACTGCCAGTCAAGGGATTGTAGGGCGCAGTGCTCTTCCAAGACCATCGCTGGCCATCAATGGGAGTGGCATACCCAGAAGTAAAATTGCACAGCCAGTTCGAAGGTAAGAGTTAAAACAAGCCTCCTTCCCTATGTGGATGGCTTTGGCTTAGAGTATGGGTTTGATTTTTTTCCTTCCAACTATGAAGGTTGGCTGTGAGGGAGAAGCCTTTCTAGCTCCTAATGCTAAGTCACCGAGTGGGTAAAGATTTCTTTCCAGAAACAGTGATGAACAATGCCTGATGGTAATTCTTAGTGAGCTGTAATATTGATAGAATATATTTGTGTATCATCATGGTTTAAACATGTAAATAAGAATGGATTGCTATCTCTCAATAAGAGATCAAAACAAATGGCAATCTCACAGCATTGACATACATGACTCGCCACTGTCTAGACTTGTGCCAACTGCTATTTCACTGTCACAGGATGAGCAAATCTTAGGAGTACCCAGATAGGAAGAGTTGCATCCCTCTTGTTGTAGATGGCAGTAGGCTGTAAAAACACAACGCGCAGTGCTGTGAGGAAGGAAATATCTTGGATAGTACAGTCTTGAGTTGAACCAGCATCTTTTTCAGTTCCAGCTGGGAGACAACGGGTAAACAGGAAATCCTGAAGTATTACCTACTTGCAGTGAGCTATACTGTTAAGCAAATGCATTTTTGCACTTTTCCAATAAGGTTTTATCTTCAAATGTTGTGGGGTTTTTAGGGCAAGCAATAAAATAAGCTTGAGGTAAGAGACTGTTTTAATCACCTTATCACAATTGGGAGTTAAATTCTTAGCTGTGTGTCCTGTGATTAATAAGTAATTGTTTCTCAAAGAGAAACTTTTATCAACTTATGTCAACTCTTGAACTACTTATTCCCATCACAGGCATCCGTCTTCTTGTGAGGGCCTGCTGTGTGACCACCTGGTTTTCTTTTGGATGAACTGTTGCTGTTTGGCTCTTACTATTTTTATGCTTTTCACTGAATCCAGAATAAGTTCAATCGCTCACATTCTCTCTTCGCTTGAGTTACTTGGGGATTACACCGATTTCATTGACAGATTTTGACCAACTGCAGTGAAACTTTGATAAAGAGCCGTCAGGTTTCTTCTTTGATGAAGACTGTACCATGAGATTTCTATTATAACCTCCTTTGCTCTCTGCTTGAACTCTCTCTGAGTTCTTTATAGAAGTGGATTTTCCTTTTTTTTTTTTTCCCTTTTTTTTCTTTTTCGTTTTTTCCACTTTATGTTCTTCTCAGACCTCTTAAATCTTTCATAGCAACATATAAGAAAGAGATTTTCTGGACCATGAAGACTAGTCCTTTGCTGTTTTCTAACTTTTCATACAACAGACAATATTAAGAAAAATAAAATTAAGATGTTTCAGTAGGAGGATGAGACACTGTACTCTCAGTGCTGTTTTTATTAGAAGATGATTTAAATCAGTAACAAAGCTATTTATAGTCCAGAAGGTCTGGGCTCCTGGTTTTTTACCTTCAAATGTGTCTTAGCAGCATCTTAGGTTGCTGCAGAGCCACACCCAGTGATCTTTGGTGGTGATGATCACTGCGCTATGGGAATGACAAGTTACAGGAATCTATAAGCACAAAGGGATTGGAGCTCAGCCTACAGTTCTTTAAGACCTTCATTTAATATAATCTGGGCACACAGATTAAATAAAGGCAGTTTTGGTTCATATGATTGATTGTTGTTTGGGTTTTTTTTGAAGGAATATAGCCAGACTTAGATAGATGAGTTACTGGTATTTTAGTTGCTTAAAATAGTTTGTTAGAGACTTCATATAGAGCCTGTGTTAGGAAACTTGAGTATTCTACTACATTGGATCAAGCACAGGGTGAGGGAATGGTATTGAGAATTTGAAAAATTAAAATAGCCAAGATAACCAACTTGGCTAAATACTCTTTTTCTCCTTGCCATCAGAGATTCATGCGTTTACAAGCAGCATAAAGAAATTATATCTGTACAGTCCCATCTCTTCTGAGACTTACAAGTGAGGCAGCACCTTTTTTTTTCTTACTGTTTAATGGATCCATGCAACCTTCTGCCCTTTCCAACTCCATGCTTTGGGCTTCTTGCAGACCCCTACCTTCCAGTCCTCCACTTTCTATCCTTACACATTGTGAGGGGCAGATTCCCGTGGGGCAGAGTGACCCGGGACCCACAGCCAGGCTGCCCCACAGTGCCCACCCAAGAGCAGCGTTGCTGGTGACCGGGGTCAGCCGACAGTCCCAGTTTCCAGACAAGTCCACAGCGACGAGGCAGGTCCCACCTAAAGCCAGGAAGTCAATCAACAGATCCAGAGACTGGATCATCCTAGGTGTCAGATGCAACCATGGCAGCAACGTGAGCATGGCTCCGGAGCTGAGGTGGGACTACAGACCCTCCAAAACTCTGTTGTCTCTAACCACGTGGCATCATACTGGCAGCTTGTGCCTGTCTGAAATGGTTTTCAACACTGACGCATTTTCCTGTTCACTGCCCTGTAGCAGAGACTCAGCTCTGGATACACAGCAAAATTCTTACACTTATTTTCAACTTCGTTAATCATTCTTTACTTTTGCACTCTCTGTGTTTATTCTTGAAAATTGTTAAACATACTTTGCTCTTTTTCCTTCTGGAAAAAAAAGAATGAAAGCAACAGTTGCAGAAAACGGCAGAGATGGGTCATGTTTTATGCCTCAAGTTACCAGATTTATGTCAGAGATAAGTGATGCTCCAACAAAGTGGAGATGCAGAAAAGCAGCTTGGCTGAACTTTTTTTGCCTAAGTGCAGTGGTTTTGCCACTGAAAAAGCAGTTGTAGCAGAGAGGTGAGAACCTGCTCTGGTAACTGCTTTTAGCTTAGTGACTCTGCCTGCCTTACAACATACCTCTGCCTTTGCCAGCCAACGGCATTTGGAAGGGAGAGGAGGCATCAGTAACTCACAGAAAAAAAAGCTGAGAAGCATGAGAACAGGGCTTGAAACCTGGTTTTATGTGAAACGGTTTCCCAGAATTGAGACGCTTTATTTTCAGCAAATTCTGGTGGAACAAAAATATGTGGTTGCGTCAAATTAGAGAGTGAGTTGGCAGTTAGATCGAGTCAGGTGGTAGTTTTTCTTTAATCTTGTTTGAAACAGTTGCCTTGGTAGTACCTGGTGGGTTTGGAAGATGGTCAACAAGCATTTTATGATAACTCCTCATCGAGACACGGCCCGGGTGTGAGGGTGGGGGCCCAGAGGACGGCGAGTTCGCTGCAGGAGCCTGTGGTGCTGGGAGTGATGATTCTCTGACCCTGGCTGTGGGATGGAAGCACGTCATCATGTGTCTTGGGTAAAGAAGGTCCGGAGCAGGGCTTGATAGAGTTCTTCAACCAATAAGATGCCAAAATTCTTTAGCACCTGCATGGCTTTTTTTATGAAGTGCTGTGTCCTTTTTTTTTTTTTTTTCTGAGCATGCTAAACACAACAGCTTTTTGGAGAATATTTCCTGCTGCTGTGCACAATGACAAAAATGAGATTTTATTGGCTTCAGCCTGAGAAATAAAATCTTCCCATTTAGAGGGGTGTCATGTATCATGACAATTATTTGCCAAATTCCTTTTTACAAATCTACTACCCTCTTAAGACTGGTAACAGTAATGGGGTCTCATTAAAGGTAGCCTTAATTTCGCTTTACATAAAGATCTATGTAAATAGATCTTTACATCTGTGTTAGTAGGGAGCCGGAAATGTACCAGAGCGATGTGTCTAAGCGCCATTGTCACTGGAGAAGTAAATTATGTTTGTTATCTTGAACTTTCACGTGAAATATGACGTCCTTTGCTTTTTTTTTTTTTTTTATCATTTGGTTAATACAGTTTTCTTCAGCCTCCAAAGCCACTTTCGTCACTCAGCACGTTGAGGGATGGGAGCTGGAGAGACGGCTGCTATTGATGAAGGATGCCCATCAACAGTGGAAGATAAATAACGTCGATTTCATTACCCAGCTGGCTGGGTAACAATGATTTGGGAAAGGAGGGTCATACAGTATTATTTCCCCCAGGATTTTAATGTGTAACCATCCATAATGCAGTGTCATTTTTAAAAAATGAACATCTTACCGAACTAAATATTGCACTTAATGAGTTACCTGAATAGCTGCGTTGTTACCAGACTAACAACGGCAGCGTTGGCATTTGGAACTGAAGAAAGTATTATATATGTGCAAAGTACCAGAATATGTCCTTGGAAAGAACTAGGAGATAATGCTTTCAGGCAGCTTTGCCATACTGAAATTCCAAGATTATTTATTCAGTGTAAAGGCATCGTGCATTTTATTTTGAATTTGGGGGTACTTATGTACGTGCTTGAATTTTTTTCTAGTGTTTCCAGTACATTTTATTTTGTATACTTAAGTTCATTTAAACTTGCCTGAACCTTGAACAACAGAGAGATAATTTAACTTTTCTGTGCCATAAATAATATTTTTGGGGTAATGTACTTTTTTAGCGCTAGGAGCATATCTTACAAAATCACACCACTGGCAATACAAAGAAAGCAGTGTATTTATGTTGCAGAAGCACACACAAAAAAAGTAGCATTCACTGGAAAGCGCCATCCAGCTGGGTCAGCATGGTTTCTGTTGGTCTTTCACCATTTGTTCAATTGTTAATTTATTGTCCTAGTGTTTTGTATTTAAAATGGCAGCATAAGTCACATTGCACTTACAAAGATACAGTGATCTCTAAAACTGCAGTTGATTTTCAGTACTTTATTACAAAGAATAAAATTGTAATGTTTTATTAACAGTTGCTTATGGAAAATGAATTTTAATGCGAATAAATCTTTTTGATAGATCTTTTACAAAATCCAATTGCACTAATCAATGCTTTCTTACAATGGCATATGACTTAATATTTGATTACAACTGTGTATACGGCTGTTTTGGAATGTTTCAGAAATAAAGAATCTATTTCAGCAATAATGCTGTTCTTTAGTGTGCAACATAAACATTGTTGGAATTCAGCAAATGGCATCTACTTGGCTCCTGAAGTTTTTATGACTTAGCAGTTACAAAGATTACACTGGATTTTTTCAAATAGTAACTAAGTTCATCTGAAAGTTTCTGATTTTTTTTAAATGTATTATGAAGCCACAGTATACATAGAAGACACGATATTTTTAAATCAATCTTATTATGGTCTTAAGAATTTTTTTTCAATTTAATCTTCAAATTCTGCAGGTGCAAATGTGACTTGCAGTGGGAAACAGAGATTGTATACCAAGTGAGTCTCTTTCACTATGGCACTGAATTTGCTCTCAATTTTGCTCTAAATTTGCTTGAGGACCTGCTTTTCTTAAAAGGGCAAGTTAAAATGAAAAATAAAGAAGCAGCATTTAGTGGTGAATAAAACCGTCATTACACTGAGAAGTGATTATATAGCAGCAGCCCAGTAGTATCCCTACATAGTATAACATTGTTTAGCAGAGATAAAGGATCTAAAGTGTGAAAAGTAAATAGTTTATTTCAGTTAAAATCCATTTTTTCCAAGAAAAGCAGAACTGTTGAAGAGGGCATCAAGAACTATTCCGGCAAGGAAATTATCTCTGCGCAGGCAAGTATTTTAGCAGGGCTGTGCCGAATTCATCTTGTTCAGAAAAAGCTTTTAACTGGAAGTAGTTACTGCTGGTTAAAGGGCTCTGTCATTTACGGACAGTCTCTATTGCCTTGATCGGTTTATCTTGCATACAGACTGATTGTGGCAGGGGTACTTTGCCATTTGCCTGTGACAGGGAGGGCTACAGAACCTCCCAGAGTAATGAACTCTCCTGGTTCCTGGTGTTAGGGGACCAGCATGGTCTTTTTCATTAAAAATGGCTAAGCATCGTGGCAGTGATTAACTTCTGCTCGTTGCTGGCCATACCAGCTCTGGTCTGAGCTGTCTCCTCACTCTGTTCCTTAGTGCTGGAATTTTATCCCTGTTCTTCCATTATCTGGAACATGAGAGCGCCACGTTACTGTTGATTTTTGAAACAGTTGGAGGTAATGTTGAGTTGTACACTGGAGGGCAGTATATGCTTTGAAAAGGTTTTATTTTTAGTAGCTAAAGCTTTTCTGTTTTCCAGGCTTTTGCTCTGAAACCAGTGCATATGTTTGTTTTCAGTGTTGTTTATGTATGATGACAACACGTTAAAAAGAGGTGCCCAACTGCTTGTGATTTTGCATTTTTAAATTTCACACTACAAAATGTGTCGTGAGCAGGAGAGCCAAGCATTTTTGATACAGTGAGCTTAGAGAAGATGCAGTTGTTTTTCTGTCTTTAATCGTCCTCTTCCCTTGCAATACAGTCTTTCATCATGTCCAGATTTGGTAACCTCATAGCTTTGCTGTTTGAAGTGTTCTTGTCAAATATCTGTCACACATCAAACTTTAGGAGGAAACGCAGGTGGGAGCAGCTTGAGCTCTTCACTGCACTCAAAGAAGCAACTGAATCAGTCTTTTTAGCCATGTGCTGTGGTGCTGCTGCTGTTTGCCTGTAGCTGAAGGAGCTGGTTGTCTCACTTGAGAGCAACATCAACAAACCAGATTACTACTGCACGCTGCCCGAAGTGTCACGTACTTCACGGCAGTCTCGCTGGGAGCAAAACGTGGAATATGCAACACAAAATCACTTCTGTCACTCAGTATTGCGAGAGGCAGAATCTCCTCCGGGGCAATGAGAAAAGGCAAGAACAAGAAGTTATCTTTTAAATATAAAGATTGAAACTTACTTTTCTCAAAGTTTCTAAGTATAAGAGAGCATCTGAGAACTCTGCCTCCTTTCCCCTCCCCTTCTCCCCCTCCATCTCTTTGGTTCTTCTCTTTTAGTCCAAGAATATGAATCCCACTCCTGTCTCCTTGTTGAATCCCAAAAATGATCTACCTCCTTCTAATCAAACTGTAGTCTTGGGCTTCAGTTGATGGCTGAATCATGGCTCTCACCCTTTTTCTCTAATATTTTTTTTTTCTTCCTTTTCTGTCACTGGGGATAAAAGCTCTACATTTCCAATCGTTCAGCCCTGTGACTTGGACACTTTTTTTCACATTTCTGCAACCTAATATTCTGGTTAAGTCCTGCATGCTTTGCATAATAAATTGAAGACACAGGTTTCCTTTTTCATCCTTACAAATAGTGCATTCATCCACCATCTCCTCACCTGAAGTCAGCTTTGGCCTTGTAGTGTCTTCAGCGTATGAAATCGGTCCAAACTAAAATAAGGTCATTTTCTTGTCCTCCTGTTTTGATCATGTCACTGCTTTGAGCACTTCTTGTATATTGCTACTGGTTTCCTCCTCTCTGTGGAATACAGTTAAAAAGTTACAAGCTAGTTGTGCTCTTTCCCAAAGCCACAGGTGCTCTCCCATCCCACTAGTAGTTCCTCATTGAGTGCCGAGTTGAATTCCATATCTAAGTCCATGCTGCCAGCCTGTGCTGTGCCCATTTTAAGCACGGCACCTCCTAGCTCCTTGCTACTTGTTGTACCTCACTGTGAGGGGGATACCGCGTGACCGTAAGAGACTCAATTTTTAGTCACCCTCAAATCCTGTCTTAAAGGCTTTTTCTTTACTGCAGTACCTTGAAAAGCGGGACTACAGTTAAACTGCCAGTGCCTTCTGACTGCTATTGAGCCTATTGACAAATGTTGTATAGCAGGTTGTATTTATTTTTTTTTTAATTTAAGAATAAGTATGTTATCACAGAGACACTACCACCATCATTGATAGATTCAGCCTTGGCCAGCGGCAGGTCTGTCTCTGGAGCCAGCTGGCATTGGCTCTATCAGACCAAAGGGAAGCTTCTAGCAGCCTCTCACTGCTCTAGAAGCCATCCCTGTAGCCCCCCTCTGCTACCAAAACTTTGCCATGTGAACCCAGTACACCCACCCAGCTATTCTGCTGGCCCAGCAGCCTGGGGAGCAGATCCTCAGTGCATCCTCTTCCTCCATCGTTGAGATTTTCAGCTGTTAACTGGTGAGGTAAGTGGTTATTCATAACCTGAATTAATGATAATGGAAGGGAAGTTTAAGGCATGAAGAGATGCTGATAGGTCAGACTGGTGGTAATTAACACCAGAGATGGTGATCCTTCAGCAGGGTAACACCCTTCCTCTCTGATCTGACCAGGCTGCCAGTTAGTTCCAAGTGCAATTCAAGGGGTTGGCTATGACCTGGAGAGGCTGGAGAGATTATCTTTCTACATGTGCAGACTTTTTGCAAACCGTCTCATGGAAGGAAGGAAGCGAGCGATTAGATAGGTTCGTTCTTGAAACCTCATTCTGCTTTTATATAAGCCACGCATTTAGGTGGTTTTGGCACTGCAAAGCTCTTGCCCATAAACTAAAAAAAAAAAATAAATTAGATATGGGGAGTCCTTTGGTGCTTAAATCCTGATTTTGGCTTAATTTTTACGACATATTTGTGACCGCACTGCTGAAGGTTTGGCAATACCAAGCAGTTCATGTAGCAGTGCAGCACTGGGCTCGTAGAGGGAAAGGGGAGAAGCGGAAGGTCAGAAGTTTAGAAGTCTTGGTATGAAGCCTATTGTAGCTGCTCTTTTTTGAAAAGTAGCCCTGTATGTTTTTGAAATGTCATTATGGTATGTTTTTTCAGATCCCAGCACTTTTTGGTCATGACTAGCTCATGTGGTTCGCCAATCCATTTGAGAGCATGTGTAACAATGTGCAAGTGCCAATTTTTTGGCAAGTGTTCCATGCTACGTGAGGGGTTTTAATAATTTGGGCATAGTAAGAGGTGGAATGGAGTATTTTGAGCATAATATTAGCTGAAAATTATTGTATGGCTTCTGTGTCAGATTTAACTTGTTTGTTTTACCAGGGAAAATCTTTCCTCAACCATTCATGTAGAGACACATACTTGAGGCTATCTCATCTTGCACTGTAAGCGTTATAGTGCTCATACTGAGTGAGTGTAAGTATATTTTTGAGTGTGACTGTGGCTTCAGCTGCTTTTATTCCTTGATAAAAGAAGCTGGGCTAATGCAGTGATGTTTATGACTACAAATAGATGAGATAGATAGTTGAGCAGATATTTTAACAGTGACAAACGTAGTAACCTAGATCTGGAGAGGTGAAGGGTGCATTCTTACTTTGTTTTTTAAGGAAGTGCCAAACACATTTCTTAATTGGTACATGACCTTGAGAAGAGTATGAAATCAGAGCAGGCATAGGTACATACAAAAGCAACTGGTCATCTGTTTCCACTGGTTCTTGATAAAAATCGATAGACATATAGATGGTGCTCTCTGAATCAGGTGAAGAAGTTTGAACAATGAACAGCGGTCAAACTTCAAACTTTCTGTAAAGAGATACTTAAAAAGTTAATCTCTTATATTGACAGTCCATTTAGACATTTTAGAGGTGGAGAGAAGCTTGGCATGTAAGACAGTCAAAAGAAACATGCATAATTTCCAGGTGCAGCTATCAAAATTGCATGAAACTACAGGTAGATAGATAACATTCACAAACCATAAATGATCTCTTACTTGAAGCAAAATGTGACGAACACACAAAAGCAACCCTGTCACTGCCATTTCTCCCTCATTTGCTCTTTGGTGATGCACGGTTGAATTCATCCCTCTTAACGCAGAGGGGTTGGACATCTGAAACTGGGCGAGCCACTTAAGTTCTTCTTGTGGCTGGGCGGAATAAAAAAAACAAACAGCAAACCCAAACTTTGCGGCTCCTACGCACGGAGCAGATTTGGCCGGGCGGTGTGGAACCGCAGCGCGAATTCACTGCTCCGCAGCAGCCCTGTTGCTTCCCAGGAGCACGGCGCCTGCTGCGTGGGTGGTACCCGACGCACAGACATCGCTGTCCCTGACCACCGTGGAGGTACCCAGGAGCAGACCTTCCTTTGCTTGCTCAGGCAGAGTGCTTAAAAGAGGCTAATTTAGAGTCCGATTCCTCGATGATACTCAAGCGTGTT